TCGGATGAGTGTATAGGGAAAATGTGGTATTTCTACACAATAGAATACTACTCTGCTATAAAAACGAGTGAAATACTGCCATTTGCAACAACATGGATGGACCTTGAGAGAATTATATTAAGTGAAACGAGTCAGGCACAGAAAGAGAAATACCACATGTTCTCACTTACTGGTGGGAGCTAAAAATTAATAAATAAATTCACACGCACACACACACACACAAAAAAAAAATCTGGGGGGAGGGGAAGAAGATATAACAACTACAATTACTTGAAGTTGATACGACAAGCAAACAGAAAGGACATTGTTGGGTGGGAGGATGGAGAGGGAGGAGGGAGGGAGGTTTTGGTAAGGGGCAACAATAATCAACCACAATGTATATCGACAAAATAAAATAAATAAATAAAATAATCAGCTAGGCATAGTGATAAATATTAGAAAAGAGTCCATGGAAATTATAATGGTTTTTAATTAAGGAGTGGGGTTATTCTTTTTGTTGGTATTTTCTAGACGTTCCATACTGCTTGTTTTTAGAGCTCTATTACACCGCTATACTTCAGTCCCTCTACAGCACAGATGGAACCCTTTGCAAATATTTTCAGCAAATTGTAGAAATGTATCTGCCTGTCAATCAGACACAGCGAATGCAGAACAAAAGGCTTCAGAGGAACTGATTCTAGTATCAATCACTGCCCTTCTCCCTTTTCTTACTGAGAAAACGGTTAAGAACTACTTAATCATTCACACTTGACTTCCTACAGAAACCATGTACAAAAATCCCTGCAGAAAGTCGATACAGAACCCTGGAACCTCAGTGCCTGTATCACAGCCTACTGCTCGGCCAGGGGTGCTGGAGCCATGGCAGAGCGCCTGGGTCAGCCAGTCAGTGCATTCGCTGTGTGCTGGAGCACAGGGCAGAGACATAGCCGAGGTGGTAGAGACCCAATACCAAGGAGTCTGGGCTTCATCCTTAAGATGGAAACTTTTCCACATGCTAAAACTGGGTGGTCCGATGGACTCCCCCTCCTTTTTAATAGAGGTATGGCATGAATTGGGATAATATGACCCTTCCACACTTTATCAGCTCACACTTAGGGAGCATCTGGCTTCACTGGCCATATCTTTATGTAGTTAATGTGAAGAGTGGCTTTATTTGTTGCACCTGGCAGCATTAAAAAGGAGAATACTAAATAACCACATAAAATGGACTAGTTAATTCTGCCAGTTGGAGAAGTATTCTTCAGTTTGTCTTAGTAGGCTCATCTGGATTCCATATCCATCAAAATCTGACATTCTAAGAAGCACAAAGGAATACATTCCTCCTTAAATTCAGAATCTTGCTTCTGAAGCCCTTTCCTAACCCAGCATTATAAAACATTCTTACATTATCCCCAGATCCTTTTACATTTTTCACGTTTAGGTAATTATCCTGGAATTTATTTCATGTATGCTGATTTAGAAATCCAAGTTGCTTTTCTCACCCTTCAAAACAACAGCCAATAGCCCTCAGTCCATTTCAGAAGCAAATCCTTTCCCCCTTTGAAATTACCCTTGTGTTCTAGATTCCCATCTGCTCTGGGACCTTCTCTTCTGTCCCACCGATTTGCAGATACCTTACTGTGTGAAGTCCTGAAGCTTTGCGGCATGCTTCGATACCTGGAGGACAGATCCCTTTCCGCTGTTGGAGACTACCCACTTCATCGAGTTCCATCGAAAGCCCTTGTTGGGACGTTGCTTGTTGTGTACAGAATGCCTTAATGTAGGGAGAAGTGACATCTTCATAATATCAAACACTTCCATCTAGAACACAGCACATTTCTTTATTCAGACCTTCCACCTCTTCCAGGAAAGTTTCACTGTTTCCTCCATATGAGACCTGAACTGCTCATAACGTGCACTCCCAAGTACTGACTAGTTTAGAAAAAAAATTTTTTTTTCTAATTAGTTACAAACACTGTGTGTGAAAGTATCACTGATTTGTATGTTTACCTTGTTCTGGTATTCTGTGGACTTTTTCATTATGGACTCAAGTCTTTCTTTGGCTGAAGCAAAGTTTTAATTTGATTATTTCCGTTTCACACTTCTCATCTCTGTCCCCTTTTGCACTGGTTGTGGGAAGAAACATGTGGCCTCTCTTCCAAATAATTGTGTCTGTATTTATCTTGCCTTCAGTCCAACTACTGTCTTTTTATTTTATGTTTCTAATTTCTAAGAATTATTTTTCTTACCAGTCCATTCTCTTCCTAATGGATACAATGGCCTTCTAGTTGCTTTCTGATTCCTGGATTGACATTTCCACAAGGGTTAGACACTGTCTCAAGAAGCTGTCTCAAGAAGCTGTCTCGGCTGTTTTTAAGTTTTTTATTGTCTGCTCCTATGTGCAGCTGAGGGCCCAGGCTGTACCGCGCCAGCTTGACTCCTCTCTCCAGGAGAGGACCCTGTGACAGGCTGTGTGCAAGTCCTCGCTCAGACTCTGTCCTTGCAGCTAGGAGCTTTTCTGGCGGTCCCTGCCCACTGGCGCAGCTTTGCCTTCCATGCTGGGTGGAAGCTGCCACTTGCTGCTGCCTGTTCCTCTTACCTTGCTGAAAGATCTTCTTGTCTCCTTCACACCACATCTTCCACTACAAATTTCAATGTTGTATATTTTTGTTTTTAAAAAAATCTTTACCTATCCTGCTCAGCTCTTTTTACGTCTGTTCACTTTCAGCAAGTTCTTTTAGTAACTGAGCTACCCCACAGGGTTTTTATTTTTAGAGCTCATGATTCCCTGCATATTTTGAGATCAGAGCAGAAAAGGGCAAGAATCGACACAATATTTTCATTAAAATTTTTTTTTTCCATAGCAAAATTTCACAGACAACTTTTTCATGGAAACTTTTCTCAAATTCTCAAATGTTGCCTGCACTTGACTCCCGTTTGCTGCAGTGCATCTTTTCATCCGGCTCGGCCTCCACATCTCGTGGGCGAGCCTCCTCCACCCGAAGATCCGGGGGGTCTGTTTCCTTTCGATCCCTAGTGCTCAGGTTTCATGTTTCCCCAGAAACTGGGCAGTGGGGTTTTGGGCAGTGGGTGCTTAGGTCTCACTCTCTCCTGTGCATGTGGTCACAGACTTTCAGATCTCAAACCAGAGGGCTAGGGAGGGACAGCCAGGGCCACCTACGCAGGGAGCTCAGGTGACTTGTGCTTTCTCCTGCTTGGGTGAAGCCACGAGCTGGGGCTGGGCCAGACAACACTGGCCCCCCTCCTAGAGCAAGAACGGCTGCTGCTGCTTGGTTTTTCCAGCTGCTGAGCCACAAAGAATCCCCCCTCCAGCTCGCTCAGGGCCACTTTCCCCGGGTTTCGGCATCCATGACAACCTTGTCACCTGGGAAACAGCTCCAGGGCCATCACCACTATTGCTACTGCCCAGGATCCTGCTGTCAACCCAGGGCCTCAAATGGGAACTCTGGGTGAGGCCCGAGTTATGCCACCTTGGAGTGGCTGTTCCTCCATCTGAGAGCTGACTGATGGCCTCAGCACTGGGCACACACCCATGAGCACTATGTGTGGCCAAGCACTTCCTGGGCTCTACTTCATCTCACTTTCTCAGATATTGAGGGGTGCCGTCACTGTGCCTGCTGAAAGACGAGCATGTGGGGGTCCAGTGAGTTGAGGACCCTTCCACATCACACCTGCCACACTGCACAGTGCAGGATCATGCTCAGAGCCATGTCTGTGGGACTCTGAAGCCCGTGCTGTTAATCTGAGCTGTGTTTTAGAACTGCATAGAAGGCAGACTGGAAATAAATGAGGGCAATGTCCAGGTGGCCTGAGTGGTGCTTCTCCTTTATACTTCTCATCTTCAGAAGTTTCTAGAATGGATTAGTTTACTGTTATAAACAGAAAAACGTCTAAGTGGTGGTGGCCAGGTAGCCTCAAAAGAAACATAGATTATTAGGACTTAGAACTCAGTGAGTTCAATGCTTTTGTGCAGAGACAAGGAAGTGAACCTGGGCAGGCACATGACTTGCCAGCCATGGCTCACACCCCAGGAGCAGGGCCCGCAGACTGGCCTGGGGCTTCTGGGATCCTGGAGGCCAGTGCTCCTTATCGCAAAGTCAAAAGTGTGCCTCTGGGAAACTGCAAAGCTCCAGATCCTGCATCAGTGTCCTCCCCATCCACGGGCCAAACCACACCGCCACTTAGGCAAATACACAAGGGGACATTTAGAAGGGGTCTGCACATTCTCAGCATTTGTCAAGTGGTTTTTTTCTGCCAGTTCCTTCCCACCCCTGTGTGAACTGCACAGTGAGACTCTAACGAGGGCTCACGGGCCTGGGAGTAAAGCAGCTGTGAGCCCTAGCCTTGTCCTGGGAGTGCTGCCCGCGGCAGCCATGGGAGCAGCTGCCCTTGTGGGCCCCGAGGCAGGCCGGGACAGGAGAAGGTCTGCAGACAGACACATTTGGGGTACTTATATTTCAGGCACTTGGTCTCTAGCTTTTCTTATACTATTTTCCATAAATATAAAAATGACAGTTTCAATTTACCTGTATATCGATATATCTGGCTGCAAGTGACAGAAAATCCAAGGAATCTGGCTTACCCGAGAGTGATCATTTATTAACTTGAGTTATAACTCTACAGTCTGAGGGTCGGGGTAGAGTCAGGCACGACTGGATCCAGGAGTTCAAATAGTGGGATCGGATGCAGCTTCTTGATCTCTTGGCTCCCGTGGGCCCATTCACATCCCACGTTTGTCCCGAGTGGCTCCAGCTGCTGGGCGCAGCAGGGAGAGAGCCGGACAGACACACTTACTCTCTCTTCTCCTGCAGCTGCTGTTCTAACAGTGGCAGATCAACAATAAAGCAAACAAAAACTAAGAGAATCTTTCAAGTACAAGAACAATCCTTGAAAAATGGGAAAAAGCAGAATGAGGAGTTGAGGGTGACCAGGTGGCCACTGAGGATTGGGGGTCAGAGTTGGCTTGTGACACCGAGTGTCATGCCAAGGACAGGGCCAGGCCGAGGCCTGGGGGCCAAGCTGTGACACACCTGTTTCCATCCCTCTCATTTTATTCGAGACAGCTTGGAAAAGATGTTTATTTCACAAGCAAATCTGTCTAAGAACAGATTTTCTTTCTGAAGTCTCCACAGTATCGTCGTTGTAAAATGCTATTTCAAAGGGAAAAATGAGCATCCTGAGAACGTGTTCTTTAAAGCACATGCAAGGCCTGCCCTCTTGAGGCATAATAATGTGCTTCAAATATACTAAGACCCTCTGGCTAAAACAATTAAAATTTCCAACACATTTACATTTGGGAAAAAAAAAATCTCCACTTACATGCTTATTTGACTTTTTGCCTAGCATCAACTGCAAAAGCGCTTTCATTGAGAAGCACAGTTCTGCCAAAAATCCAGCTTGTTTTTTAGAAACACAGAACTGCAGAAAAGAGTCCAGAAAACACAGGCCCTGGGCATGTGTGCACGTGTGAATGGGACATCAGCTGGCACAGGGCTCATTCCCAGAGCCAGCCTCTCTCACGAGACAGACCTTCCTGCCTTGTGGCCAGAGCTGAGAGTGTTCACCCACAGAAGCAGGAGACTAGGGGACCATGGCGAGTCTCACCCCATTGTGGGTCCCCATTTCATCGGCTCCCATGTGACACCAGGACTGAGCTGTGATGAGCAATTCGTAACCTGGGGACTGAGCCACTTGGGCTTTTGTGACTTGGCTTTCCCCTCCAGTCATGCCAGGTCCAGGATCATGGAGCACGAGAATGCTTCTCTGGTTTTGCCCCCTGTTCCCTGCCTGGTCCCAGCCAGGGCCTATCGTGGGCAGGATCCTTCATCCATCTTCTTCTACTCCATCCCCCAAACCCTAAATCACCATTTACTAGCATGTGTTTGTTGCTCAGTCCTCTAAAATGTTTAATTTGCTGTCCCTCCAGAGAAACTGGCACAGCTAACACAGTCAAACAGGTACAAGGAGCAAAAAACTCCAGAATCTGAACAAACCAAGTCTGCAGCCTCCGCGTGCTATGAAGTGCATCATGCACTAGCCCCCTGCCCATCTGGAGATGCAGCACTGCCTGAGGCTGGGACTTCCCAGGGAGAGGTGAGACAGCGGCAGCTCAGCCAGTGGCAGCTCAGCCAGCAGCAGCTCGCCACGTCCCACCACACAGGCCTCCCGTCCCACAGGAACCCCAAGCGGCGGGCTGTCACACGTAAGAGATGGCTGGCAATGGCAACGGTGTACTTGTCCAGCATGGCTCTGCTGCCCAAGGATGCCTGCCAGGTCACTTGTCCCTCTGGTGCCTGGCCAGCGCCACCCTCAAGGTGTCGGTGCCCAGGCGCAGGCCCTGCAGGCAGGAGATGGCCTGCTGGGCTGAGGCTGGGTCCTGGTAGTGGAGGAATGCCCTGCACTGTGGCGCCTGCCAGGTGAGCCATAGGGGCGCTGCGCCGCGGTCTCGGAGGGCCCTCTTCAGATCACTCACGCGGGCATCTCGGGGGAGGTTCCCCACATACACAGTGGCAGCAGGCGGGGCCTCTTCCCTCTGCAGGCAGCCACGGGCTGCTCCCATAGAATCAGCTTCTGGCTGGGGTGTATCCTGGGGTGGTCTGACAGCACTCGTGGGAGCTGCTCGCTGGCTGCCGGATTCTAGAAGGTTCCAGTGCTCATTCTGAAGAGTGACATCTTTCCCAGCCTGCTTCTCTTGGTCACGGAGGGTTCTCAGTATTGGGATTTTCTCCATCATCTCATGGCTGATCTGAAAAAGTAAAGCAGTTCTGGCTATTCTCAGGGGGTCCAATAGGGGCAAAGGCATGCCAGGAGCATGTGCCCTGCACACTCATGTGGGAATCTCTGACTACCCGCAGCACACACGGATGGGATGCAGAGCGGTCCAACTCGGCCATGTGGAAAGGGGGACTCCTGCTGTCTGAAATAGAATACCTCACCAGCCTGCAGCTGTGATCCCCCCCTTCCCCCACTTAAGTGAAACCCAGACTCATTGGAGCTACTGTGTAAAGTCCACCCCACATGCCATGGCAGCGGGCAGGAATGGGCCTCTACTTTCCTCGAGACCTAGGAAGTAGAAAACAAGCTGGGAACTTTGGCAGGGCCTCCTACCCAGAAGAGGTACCTAAGGTTACTAGTGTTAGGGTTACAGGGTCACAGATGGCAATTCTCCTAAGTGCCCCCCAGGATAATGGGGAGTTTCTGCCTCGATACCTGCTCTTACACCCCACCTGTGCCTTTGGGTGGGATGAGGTCTTTAATAGGGCCACAGGGTCTTCTCTCCACTGAAGGAATCTCTGTGATCAAACCCTTCAATGCAGAAACAAGGCTTGTCTGAAATAGAATGCTATCTTTGAAAACACTTTCTAGCAATGGGTCACAAAGATATGAAATAACAAACACTACACAAAATTTAAGTGTCAATGTACAGGATGTGGTATACAAAGGACATTGCTGGCTTTATCTAGATTGATCTAATTGATCGACAAATATCTCCTGAGAACCTGCAAGAGAGGAGAAGGTAGAGGAGCCCAAGCATATGAGGCAGTTTTCTGCCTGCAAGAACAGTCTCAAATAGTTGATCCCACCCGAGCAGCCTGGAACCAGCTTGAGGCCACTTCCACGGTGAAGCCCTGAAGGCTCCATGCAATGGGGCAATCTGCATTGTGGGGGCTGCCTGTATGGGTCAGGACTAGCCAGGTTAAGCTTGAACAACTGTGCCTGGGCAGAAAAGTAACAGACAAATCCTGTGTAGTCTTTTGGCAACTCTCATCCTTTACAGATGCTTTTCACCTTTCTTTTGGACACAAGGCTTATAAATGAGCATGTTTACCAATGGGCAGGCATTGGTCCAAACATGGGGCTTCCCACAGATGGATTTATCTGAACACAGATTGACACAAGTTAGACAATTATACATTTTCTACAATACTAAATAGTTGAACTAGTATCGATGTTCATATTATATTCAGAATCATATGTAACTCAGAGCAACTGTTCCTATCCTTGGCAGGGTGACAGAGACCTTTGTGAGGGACTGGGGTTCACACCCAAGGACTCATCTGCGATTTTGTGTACCATTTCCCAGGGTCGCCAAACACTATTCATAGACCTCCGAACTGTAAATGGTGCACGGGTACCAGGTTAGGAATCAACACATTAGAGTGAGATTGAAAAACCACGAACATCAGAGAACAGTCAAGAGCCTTCTCACAAACCTAAAGGCTCTTAATCCTCTTTAATTAATATCCGGTTCTCTCACCCAGCACTAAGTAGAAAATAATCTCTGCTTCACGCCAAACCTTTTCTTTGGGCCAGAGTCCTCTGTAACGACACTGCCCTGGCTCCCTGGCAGAAGCCTGCTTTGGTCTTGGGAATGGCTATGACAAGACACTAGGGTGCCCTTGGAAGACTTTGCAAAAGTCTTGCTCCTTTTCACGTTTCCCATTGTTGAGACACAAAGGAAAAAAGAAAACTCTGTGCCATGGACACAGCTTAACATGTAATTGCTCTTTCTTACCAGCAGGAACGTTTCCTCCATGTGACCCTCCGCAATGCTTTTGAACTGATTCGCCACAAGGAAACTAACTTGCAGACCAGAATCACAGAAGCTCTGAGGCCTAATTTCAAAGATGATCTAAGTCCAACCAAATAAACTCCTTTCCATTCTCACATTCTACCTTCTCAAAGAGTTCTGAGTTCTTTTGGAATATTTAAAAACAGATTTAAACTGGACATAATGCAATTTTCAAGGATTTCTTAAGTCCCTAGAACTAGTATTTAGAAAGGATGATAAAATTTAAAACTGCCATTACAAGAGAAAATGTGTGTCTGTGTGCTTATCCAGAAGAACTAAGTGTCACTAAACTCTGAGCACAGCAGGAGCCACAAGGCCAGAGCATCTTGGAAGGTTGTGGGGAAGGGGTATGGGGGGACCCTTCTGGTAAACACTGCACTTCTGATGGGCCCCCTGGAGCTGCCACACCATGGTCCACTGGCCTATGTTACTATAACTCCTGTCTGTGTGTGTCCAGTGGTACCTCAAGGTTCCCTATGGCAGAAGCAAGTGTTCTCTGGCCAGGGCAAGGCTCCACACTTATGTTTTTGTAGCAAAAATACATTAAAAAATTTTTTGACAGTTTTTTTAATTAACATAATTGGTTATATGTATTTGTGGAGTACAGAATTGAATTATCAATACATGTGTACAATATGTGGTAATCAAATTAGGATCATTAGTATACTCATGTTTACAAAATGTAATCAATCTTTGTGACCCTTAACTAATTTTTCGCTAACCCCCTCCCACTCCCCCACCTCTAATAATCAGGGTTCTGTTTTTTTTTTCCGGAAGTTCAATGTATTACTGTGATTGTTTCTTTCTTTTCTTTCTTTCTTTTAGCTCCCACTTATCAGTGAGGATGTGGTATTTCTCTTTCTGTGCCTGGCTTATTTCACTTAACATAATTTTCTCTAAGTTCATCCATGTTGCTGAGAATGGCAGAACTTCATTCTTTTTTATGGCACAGTGGTATTTCATTGAGTATATACCACATTTTCCTTATGCAGTTGTCTGTTCATAGACATTTAGGTTGATTCCAACTCTTGGCTACTGTAAATAGAGTTGCAATAAACACGGTAGAGCACGTATCCCTTCAACATGATGATTTCCAATCTTTTGGGTATATACCCTATAGTGCGATTGGTGGATCATATATCAGTTCTATCTGTAGTTGTTTGAGGAATCTCCATACTGTTTTCCATAATGGCTGCACTAATTTACAGCCCCACCAACAGTGCAGGAGGGTTCTCCTTTCTCCACATCCTCATCAGCATTTGTTATTCTGTCTTTTTGATAACAGCCACTCTAAACTGGGGTGAGATGATATCTCAGTGTGGTTTTGATTTGCATTTCCCTGATGCTGAGTTATGGTGAGCATTTTTTCATATGTCTGTTGGCCATTTGTATATCTTCATATGAGAGATGTCTATTCAGCTCCTTTGCCTGTTTTTTAAATCAGGTTATTTGTTTTCTTGCTGTTGAGTTGTTCGAGTTCTTTGTACATTCTGGATATTAATCCCTTGTCAGATGCATAGTTTGCAAATATTTCCTCCCATTCTGTAGGTTGTCTTTTTGCTCTGTTGTTTCCTGTGGTACATATCCTCTGCACACATCACAGGAGGCTACTTTACCCTGGGCCAGCACACGAACAAACTATAATCAGCTGAAGAATAATGGAGATGTTTTGGCCACACGTCATGAACTAAGTGGAAATCTGCAGCACTGGCACACTGGCACCTGCAGGCAGGCCTTCAGAATGGAAGTGCCCAAATGCACCCCTCTCACACAGCTCGCTGCCTTCCATAAGAGCAATGCGCTTTTGGGTGAGGAATGACGAAGCTTCACATCAGCTCGCTCCTTCACAAGTCCTAAATAGGAAACCTCCTTCATAACGAGGTGGCTTTGCCACTTCCCAGCTGCAGGCCATGCCTGCAGCCAGCTGGATGCCCCAATCCACTGTGGTACCACAGCCGACAAACTGCCTCCTGCAAGCTAGCTACATGCTGCATGGCCACACCCTGGACAAGTCCATGGCAGCGTGACTCTGTTTTTCCTGGCTGGCAATTAGGAACCGTTGTTACGTTTTGTCAATTTGCAGTGTGAAATGAAAGATTCTGCTTGTTAATCAAACATAAAAAAATATTTTTGCCCTTCTGTAACTAATCATTCCATTCTCGAAATAAAGCAATTCTAACTTTCTTTTCCATGCTACAATCTCTCTGCGCTGAAGCATAAAGATGCCCGTCCTTCATAAATATAGTTCTCTTTAAAGATTAAATTAAAAACCTAGAAATACATGCTGTTATGAACCTGTCTGTAAGCCATCTGCTGCCAACCGCAAAAGAAAATTCTAGTCTTCAGTCGGCCACACTCTACTTTTACACCTCTGGATGAGTTGCTTTTCTTTCTGGATCTCACTTTACTTGATCAGAAGATTAGGAGCCCAGGAGAGATGATTTTTAAATCTCTCGTTCTAAAATGCTAGGATGCTCAAGCAGCTACTGGCAAAGCTAAACAGACCCCATAAGTATTTCTAGTGCTAAATTCAACCACTACAAAAATGCGTAGTTCTTTTGCATGAGACGAAAGCTTATCGTTTATGGATGAAAATGCTTTTAGATACTTCTAAATGGCCAAGGTGAAATAGTTACCTGCCGAGTAAGTATGCTCAGCACAAGAGAGCAGGGAAAGCTGAGAGGACGTGTCGTCTCCGGTGCCAGCACCAAGCCATGAAGCTTCCGCCGGCTCTCTTGATCCAGGTGTCAGTCAGTAGAAAAAGGCTCCGCAAGGTTAAAACCCTATCATCATGCTTCCACTGGCAGTGCTGAGGGACAGCAGGGGCACCTTAGAACCTCTGCTGCACAATGCCAGCTTCTGTCTGCATGCCGTGGCTCCCGTCTGGCTTGTGTTACCTCTGGGTCCATGGGGTGGCCGTGTCCCACCTGCTTGGCTCAGAGCCCGGCAGCTTTTTGTTTTAGTTGCCAACGCGGGGCACCATCCCCTTGGAGAGGAGCAGCTATGTGGCTCAGTTCACACAGACACGTATTCCAGTGTTGCCCACATACATATGTGTGCACACAAATTCTAAGAACCAGTGCATATGTAGCTATTTTGGTTTTTGATTCTCATTTTTATCACCTGAGGACAGATACTATGAACCTTCATGCTGTGACTGGATTCAACTGCACTGGGCAGAATGTCTACCTGGGAAAATGTTTATCAAATTTACTATCTTCTCCACTGAATATTGTTGATTGTAAAACATACGCTTATTGGGAGAAAAGTAGGAAAGAAAGGTGAAATCCTACCTCCCAGAGATAACTATGGTTAATATTCTGATGTATTTATTTCCAGTGTTTTCTCTCCACATATTTTAACATAGTGAGCACAATACAAAATTACAAATCAAGCATACACAATTTTATACTGTGCTTTTCCACTTTATACCATGAGCATTTCTCATGCCATCATATAGTCTTTACAAGGCTTATGCATTTAAATTGCCGCCTTCCCCGTTTTAAGGCACTGCATAATACGTGAGAACACATAAATCTTTATCTGAATTTAAAATATTTCCCTAGGACACATTTCTAGAAGATGAATTACTGGGTCAAGTATAATAATTCTTTTTAAATAAAAGCAGCCATCAGCCCTCTTAACTTACTGGCCCAGCTGTAGGTGGGTGCCAGTTCACAGTTGGTCAACGTTACTTCCAGAGAACAATTTTTTATACAGGATCTGAAATTGAGCTTCAGTGTCCTAAGACTGCTGCTCACAGGGGCAGCCCTGGCACCCAACCCTGTTTTCTGGAGTGTCTGTAAATCAATGCAGCATATTGTGCCCATGTGAGCACAGCCCTACTCAACAGGCCACGTGGCGATGAATGGGCTGTGCTCTGAAAGCTACAAAATCATTTCTTTGAGTGTAAACATGAGAATGGCCCTTGCAGAATGCAACTTTCTTAAATGAGCAAATGAGTTGCCCTGAGACAGTCAGATGTCCAGATTTTGGCCTCTGGTGTCCATGGTGACTCCTCTGTAATCAGCAATGATCCGTTTCTGGCAATTCCCGTGGGAAATAAAGATGCGTGTGTGACTAAGAGTCCTTCCACTGGGTGAAGGCCAAGCAGTCCTTTGGTTCATGGCTGATGGTGCCCAGGCCTCCTTCCTGGATCTCCACGCTGGCCCACCAGGCTGACCTCCACATCAGTGTACTTGTGTCTCTGGAGCCTGAAGCCACACCCCGTTCCCCTACCTCCAGGGTATTCCTAAAATAAATCTTTTACCTTCCCTGCATCTCATTCAACCTCTCCGGAAAATGATAAAAATGGCGTGGCTGGGTCTCTATGTCCAGGTCCAGCCATCCACACTGGGCAAGAGGAGCACACATACCCCGCAGTCTAACCAAATGGGGCTGGGAGGGCTTTGGTCACAGGCCTAGGTCTCACCCCACAAAGATCCCCTCTGCCACTGCCTTCTGGCTGCTCACTTGGGTCTAGGAGGTGGCCACACGCCCCAGGCAGAAGCTTTGCTTCTTCGTGTTCTGTGTCTGATGCAGGTACCCCCCAGCCCAGGGAGCTAGCTGGGCCTCAGTGCACAGCCCCCTGTGACCAGGGTGGGCACTGGGCTGGGCTGCCCGACACTAGCAGGTCTGGAACTTTGGCCTTCGACAATTTGCTACTGCACATAGCCGAGGCATCCAAGCAGATGGCTCTCGACCTGCCATAGATCATCTTACACATGGCCACCTGCAGGGAGGGACATCTGGATTATGTCCCCAGGAGGCCAGAGGGTCACCTGAGCTGGACAAACTGCCCAGGGTCCAGGACCATGCTCCAACTTCCATGCCCAGCCCTCTGGTAACAGCCTCTAGCCTGCAGAGGTCCTTGGTGTCCCTAGGGATTCAGGGAGTTCTGTGTTTTGGGGCTGGTGTGGCTGGTGGCTGAGGCAGCAGCAGTTGTGGCATCTTGTGGCTTGGACATGTCCAAGTGTCCCCTGGGTTCTACAGGTGAGTAGGCGAGGTGGCCACCCTGAGACAGAAGGGGCCGTGTGGACAGAGGTGACGACGAACCTTCCAGGAGAAGGAAGGAAAAGCAGGGCTCCCCGTTGACTGCCTCTGTGCCTCTCTTGCTCTTCCTGCCCAAAGTTTCCGACAAGGTGTGGGGTGCTGGGTTGCACTTTCTTCTAGCCCTTATCCAACCTACGGGTTCTCCTCTGCTGCAGGGGAGGGGACAGACAAGGGAGGAAGAGCATCAGCTCCTCAGGGGAGGCATCTGCACAGCATCTGTGCACTCGTGGGCAATGTGGCAGGCAGCGCCCAAGGGGCTGGAGACTCAGGTTGCTGTGTCTCTGTCCTCCTCCTCCACTGAGAGGCAGTAAAGGTACACCACATGCCAATCCACAGTCATGGAGAGACATGTGCAGGACCCCGTCTTGGCTCTGTGAACCCCCCAGAAGGACTGTTGAAAGGACTTAGCCCACAGCACAAAGAAGAATCATGCAAGAGTGTCCAGGCAGATTTCTCATGTTTACTATCAACTCTACCTGGCATCTGTGACAATGATGATGATGACAGCTAATGCTTCCAAGGACCAGGCTACACATTTTACATGCACTGCCTAACACCAACCCTAGGTCAGTACTGACAGCATCTGTGTTTTACAGATTATCAAACGAGGCAGCTTGGAGAGTGTGCTGGAGGTTGCCCTACAGCTGTAGCTACTACGTGGTGACACTGCACTTTCTAAGCTCATCCATATGCTCACTGGCCACCTGATCGCCCATTTTTAAAATCGTGAGGCACTGGCAGAGGAAAGCTCATGTGGACTTCGAAGGTGAGACAAGGAGTCACGCTGCTTAATGTGACTATAGTAAGATGATCCGTCTACATCAGGCCGGTCTATAAGCTTGGGAAGGACTCATGTTCCTTGAAAAGGTGGAACAAAGGCCAGGAAATCACATGCTGAACAATCTTTGTGTATTAAAAGTGAGCAAAGAAAATGCACATTTTGTACTTATTTCAAATCCTTCATTTAAGAGAGCTACAGGATATAAAAGATATATTCCAGATATTCCAATAAAATAGATAGGAGCTAAATTATTGGATTCTACTACCTATATGATAAGAATGTATAGCTAGGACATCATGAAAAGATAAACCAATATTTGCCAAAAAGTCAATTTGAGACAGTATTATATAACCTGGCACTGAATTATCTCCTTCCTCTATCCCGAATCTTTTCTGGAATTTAGAGATGTCTCCCCCACCCCCCTACCCTGAGAAATGTCAATAAAAATTCACTTTGGCTGCACAGGTAGCAAGACTAAAACAGAAATGTCAGGGGCCAGAAAAAGTTGCTGATTTCATATGATCCATGCAAAGGGAGGATCAGCTGGTGGTAAAACCCAGAACACAGGCCCCCAAATGAAAAATGGCCTGTTAAAAGTTTGAGACTCTTGCCAAGGCTTCATAAACAATTAGCCTTTCCATGGAAGAGGGTGAAAAAGTTTGGGGTCTCAACAAGCAGGAAAGCCCCAACTTCCCTACACCCATCAGCGTGGCACACGACGCTGTAGGAAGCCTTGGTTGAGTTTGGTTTTCTTTTATGTGGGAGGAATTATATTCCTCTAACATGTTCAATGACCTCATTTGTTACTACCTTTACATTTTTCTTGTTAAAATCTGCAGAATGTAACCATGGCTGTTCCCCAACATCTCTCTCCTTCTAGAGAGTCTGCCCAGAGTCTTCCTACTATGGGCTGCAGTGGACCCTCTCTATGAAGTGCTGGCCTCAACAGGGCCACCAGCAGCCTCCCTGTGGCTGGTCCCCTTGTGCAACCTTCCTGAGACCCCTCTTCTCAGCTCTAAGCAAACACCAGCCTCACTGCTCTGTCTGGTGGCCAGCCTCACTGAAAGGGAAGCTGTGGACCTCAACTCTGAGGTGCACCCAAGCTCTTATGAAAGACCAAGGGACATTTTAATCTTCAGGATGGGAGGTGACCACCTTTTCCCTGGCACTCCTGCTGCACATGGAGGGGCCCACCCATCTGCTTCTGGGCCACACGTGCTATTCCTCTCTGCTTTCATCAGGGGTTAACCAGGAAGGAGTGTACACCCCGGGTGGCCAATACTGCCTGCCTGAGGCGCCTGCAAGGAGCGGCCCTGCTGGGCCCTGGTAAATGTGCCAGGCGGTGTGTTTATCCTTGGAGGTGGATGTTGTTGATTTTCCATGCCCAGAGGCAGAACACTTTTGAACTCTGGATGATCTGGATTTAAGAATGGAAAACAGACAAACGTGCTTATGTGAGCAACGGGTTCATTCCCACGAAGCGCGTCTGCACGTTTCCTCAGTAGTTCTGGCTGCAGGCCAGCAGAGACAGCATTGTAATCTACGAGCTGCCTTCTGGGGTCAAACTCCTACTGCAGACTGTGCCAGTACCTGGGCTGGAGATGCAGTCACAAAGGTGTAACAACACTTATGAAGCCTTTGGTACAGCCTTCCACTCAGTTTAGTTCTGTCTGGAGATCCAGATCTGCAGTAAGAAATCTGGATTTACAGAAGGAAAAACTAATGAGATAGGGCCATGCAGACCTCCTGTAGCCAAGAAGGGAGAAAACTACTCTCAAAGACACAAAGCAGCTGGCAGACAGAGCTTCAAGGCAGGATGGTCAGTTCTGCCATCTACAGCAGCAGATCTTGAACCTGGCTGCTTATTGGAGTCCCAGAGGTTTGTAGGTAGATTCTCGGGCCCAGGCCTGGAGCTTGTCATTCAGGAGCTACATTGCTCACAAGCTCCTTGGGTGACTCTAATGTACAGCCACACCAGGGCGGCAGATGGCTGCTATGCTGGACAGAGAATAGCGAGAAAGAGGGGCAGCCTGGAAGCTGCAGGCCAGCACCAGCCATGGCCATGACCCACCTTGGACCATGTGATTCCTGTTGGCTTTGGGCGCTCACAGCCCGTGGTGATGACTCTGGTTGGAGTGAGGATATAGTCAACTGTGATGTCGTGATCCTCAAGGAGCACCTCGGGTATGTCCATGACCTGGCCAAACAGAAGCGGGGTAGAGAGAGAAGTAGGAGGGAATGCTGCTCAGCCATGTCTGCTGTAGCACTCGGTTAGATAGAGAAGCACCCAAACCATCCTGTGCACAGGGCTCAGCTGCCACACCCCTAGCAAATCCAGCCCAGCAGATCACCCACACTCGTGAAGGTGGCTGCGTCTCCCTCTCCACCCCCTGGCTCCCTCAGAGGACGAGACAGTGGCCCCGCCCTGCCCATCCACAGAATCACCTGGCAGTCGTGGACGATGGTGACCACAGGCGTCCCCTCACTGACGGCTCCCATCGACACCATCATGGCGTACTCGAGATCAGCGTAGCCCTCTCCCTTCCCTATTCTCCAGCCTAAGAGCCAATGCCAAGAGTTAGCGTCTCTGTGGGGTCCAGGGCATCACCAAGGAGTGCACTGTCCATCAGGTCACAGTGGATGGAGAAACCTGAACCCAATATCCCAGGCCCGTCTGTAGAAGTTTCCATAGGCACCCCACAACAGCCCACTGAAGATGAACTTCCAAGTGTAAGATGGGAGCAATGATAGTGAAAATGTATAGCGGTCAAAGCATAATGAAGTAAACACCGAAACTTTTAAACATGTTATGAAGGGAAACCGAGCTCATGTTTATGCTAACAAGACTCACATTTAAAAGTAACGAAAGAGCAGTTTTTTAAAAACTACGGACAAATTCCTATTAAAAACAAGATTTTTTAACTTATTTACCTTAGAGGAAAAATAAAAACTATGAAATCAGGGACACATGATTTAAGAAGACATAGCCCTGTCTTCTAAAAGGCACTACATAGTTACCCAACTCAACTTAGGGAGGGGCGAGTTAAGCAGTACTAGTACCTTTTCATAACTTGTAGGTGGTGGCACACAAAAGGATTACCTGAAGCAACAGGAGAAGCTAAGATCAAACCTCGGTTTACCAGCCTCTCCAGCCAAATCAGCCACCCAGGAGACAAGAATGCAGCCAGACAGTGACCACTAAATCACCTCTGGCTCCCAACTTGAATGTGCACATCCCTCTCACCTGGAAGCTCCAGAGGAAAAGCACTAAATATTTACCCATTTCAACCAATACTGAATTGTAACCAATTCAACAGTCACCCGATTTCAAATTTCAGAAATTTGCTTCTGTGTGTATCCTCAGCACCATCCCCAGGAACACACACATCATGGCTGATGTGTATTTCTAAGATTCAGATCTGATTGTGCTACTTTTACAATTAAAAACCTTCAACTGTGCATGCAAAGAAAAAAGAGAAAGACCAGTGAACAGGAAAATATTGATATGAAGTCCGTAGAAACAGACAGGCATACGAGCAGTAAACGTACGAGAAACGCTCAACCTCACTTACAGTTCAATGCAGTTCAAAGGCAAATGAGATGCTAGTGCTCACTACCAGACTGCTAACACTCCGAGTCTGATAATTCTAGCTATGAACAAGGGCCTGGGGAAAGAGGCAAGAAGTACAGTGTTGGGGAGCGTAAATGAGCCTCCAGAGAGGTGGGTAGTTTGGCAACATTCCAAAGTTTTAAAATCTACCCTTTGGTTCAGCAATTCCCCTCCTAGGTGTGATTATCCTCTGGATAGTCTCCAAGGCACACCTAGACTGTCCAACAAGACTGCACTTCACTCTACCATCATCCATAAGGGGAAAAACCAAACACAATGCTGGAAATAACTTAACAGGTCCCCAGTCAGGGCCGGGTTAAGTTACCATGGTCCATCTGTAGGAGGAGTGCTGTCCAGCATAAGGAGGGGACAGGGAGTTTGCCCCGTCCGCACTGATCGGCAGAAAACTCTGGGATGCGTTACCAAGCAAGGTACAGAGTGCTATACATGCTGTCAGCCCTTCTGTGACAGTAGAAGAAGGACACATAAAATCTACACTTAAAATATATAAGACATCCATGTTTCACACGCTGCTGATACAGATGTTTGTCCACACTAGGAACTCTGGACGTTGGCATTTGGTGTGTGTGTGGGGGGGGGCTTTCTCTGCTCTTCAATTTTCTACACAGACGCACAGCTATTTTATTATTTTACATGGGGTTATCTGGATAATGACTGTTTTAGTCCATTTTGTGTTGCTATGACAGAATACCTGAGACTGGGTAATTTATAAAGAAAAGAGGTTTATTTGGCTTATGATTCTGGGACAGTTGCATTTGGCATGGGCTTCAGGCTGCTTCTACTCATGGCAGAAAGTGGCAGGCTGCCGGTGGGTATGAGCAGATCACATGGCAAGAGGAAGCAAGAGAGACAGAGAGGAGGTGCCAGGGTCCTTTAAACAATCAGCTCTCGGGCCGGCCCTGTGGTGCACTCGGGAGAGTGCGGCGCTTGGGAGCGCAGCAGCGCTCCCGCCACGGGTTCGGATCCTACATAGGGATGACCGGTGTGCTCACTGGCTGAGCGCGGTGCGGGCGACACCAAGCCAAGGGTTGTGATCCCCTTACCGGTCACAAAAAAAAAAGACAAAAAAAAAAACCAATCAGCTCTCGCGGGAACTAGTAGAGCAAGAACTCTCTCACTACCCCTCCTCCCCCAGGGAGAGCATTAATCCATTCATGAGGGATCCGACCCCATGACTCAATCAGTTTCCAACACTGCCACATTGGAGATCAAATTTCCACATGAGTTTTGGAGGGGACAACACATCCAAACTCCATCAATGACATTTACAAAACATTGTTTTCTTCTTTATACATCTCTGAACTAAAAAAGAAAACTCCTGAGGATCTTTCTAAGAGGAGACCTTTCCTGATATCCCATTGGCAAGAGCCTAGCCCAAATGCCATCACCTGGCTTCAAGGCTTCTGAAAGCCAGCCCCAAGCCACCAAAGGGCTATGGTATGTGTACACGTGTTTCTTTTACCTGAGAGCCCTCCCCAGCTCCATCTGCCTCAACAATGCCTGGGGTGCAAGAGCCAGCCCTGAGGCCATCTACGAGGCAACACCCCGCTCAAGGCTAGTGGACCTCTCCTCTGCCCCAGCTCCCATCGGCCCTGCCTGGATTCCAGCCTGTGTCAGTCCCACCCACTCACAGTGCACCAAGGCAGGGACCACGCAGCACCCGCCTGGCATGCAGAGGCACACAGGCCATGTGTGCTTGTGAGCGCCAATCCTTGATGACACAGATAAAGCATCTGGAACTGGGAATACACTAGGAGCAAAGAAGAAAGAAAGACAACATCCCACATCCCAGCCCAGAGTGAGGGCTGGGAAGGGAGGGCTCACTGAAGGGGAGACACCGTGGGTGACTCAGTCACCCGCCCTCCTCACAAAGGACTCCTTGTCTCACGGACCAAGAACTGTCTGTGTCACCTGCTGCACAACCAAGAAGCAGACCTCGCAGGAAGCCTCAGGGACAAGTCATGCTGTGCAGGAGGCTGCTGCTCCATGATAACAAGGTTAGAACCTCAAGCTTTTCCACTTGCTGGAGTACCTCCAAAACCAACTATTTACTGACATCTGCAAATAAATTCAGCTCCAGTTCCAATGAACTTAACAATAGAGAGAAAATCTTTCACCACCTGAAGAGAGAGTTATCTCACTTTATTATTCCTGCTAGGAAAAGTGAAAATACTATGAAGGTGTGGAGTTGGGGCCGAGAGGGGGCAGGGCAAGTCAGCTGTTCAACATGAATGATAAATGCAGGCTTCGGAGACTAGACAAGTGTCCAGAAAGCGGAAATTACCACCAACTTAAAAAAGACAAATACAGACTTACAGAGTAGCAACCTTTGGGAGAAGCTGTCACATCCAAGAGTTCTTGTTTTCTAATCTTACCTTTTTCAGAAACGGCGACAGATCCCACCACAACTAAGTCCACGTGCACTCTGGAGTCCAGGCCGATGGGTGCACTGTAGCTCCTCACACCCTGCAAACAGACGTGGATTTGAGAGTTTCACCTGCAGCTGCTTCCTTACTTTATAGCTGATGATCAAAGAGCATTCAGGGTCTGAACCGACCTCCCGAACAAAACCCATGCAGCACTGCAGACGCGGCGTTTTGGGAGAACCAGAGTTCCAGAAACTATCATAGGGAAGATCTCCCACAATTTCTTTCCCAGGAAGGTGGCCAGGGGGAACTTGCAACACAAATTCATAGGATGCTAATCCCATAATATTTAGCAAATCATTTTTCCTGTAAGGCAGAAGAGCATAGTGTTTAAAACACAGGCTGCAGAGTCCCACAGAACCAGGTTCAGAAACCTCTTGGCTGTGGGACCTCAGCAGGCTGAAACTCTCTGAGCCTCGTTTCTTTACCTGTAAGATAGGGACACCACCCTCTGCATCACAGGACCGAAGTTGGAATTAAATGAGATAACCGAAGTTATGTATTTAGTGCATAAAACATGGTCAGTAAATGTTGTATGATGTTTACTCAGAGAAAGTACTGAGGCCACTACCTTTACGTAAAGCATGCTCACTTCTAAAATACTACTTATTCAACCAAAATGTACCAAAAGTACACCCATTTATACTAATAAGGCCTGTTTTTAAAAAATGGGGAGGCTGAATATGTTCATGATTCTCAGATAAAAGGTTTACAAGTACATCTTGTAGGGTTTACAAAGTACCCTTTCAGTCCTTCTACAGAATAACGTCTGGCAGTAGCAGGTCATCTGATGTGCTAGTAGGCACTGTCAGTATAGACGTATGACAAGTCACTTAAAGGGTCAGTACATGTGATAAGTTTGGGGTCTCCCAACAGTCACACCGGTGCTTGGCCTGTGACACCCTCCACTGTGGGGAGCCCAAGTTTTCTTTATGTCAGAGCAGCCATGGAGGCAGGTGTCACCACTGCAGAGGGTCACATGGCTTGCACTTGTGAACACCGGCCATAACCAGGGTTCTCTCTTATTTTCCTACCTTTATTTTTCCTTTACTCCTTTATCTATATATATTTTTTTACTTTACTGCATGCATTTTTGTAAGCCACATCAAATTATATTTTTGGAATGAGACAGGGTATCAATAAACTTTGAATTCAATTTTTATACATTAGACTTAAGTGGCAAGTCCCTTAAAAAAAGAATGTTTTGAATTGCCATTGTTTTAATTCTCTACAGATTAGGAATCATATGACCTAGAGTTTACTTTAGGATTCTTTAAAAATTAGCCACATTCTGGGGGCCAGCCCATAGCTCACTCGGGAGAGTGTGGTGCTGATAACACCAAGGCCATGGGTTCGGATCCCATATAGGGATGGCCGGTTAGCTCACTGGGTGAGCCTGGAGCTGACAACACCAAGTCAAGGGTTAAGATCCCCTTAATGGTCATCTTAAAAAAAAAAAAAAAATTAGCCACATTCTATTTCTTTAACAAAAACGTAAGACAAATTCCATTATAATGCACCCTAATGTAATATTTACACACTTTGGTTTTATTAGATTGTGAGGGATTCAAAAAAATCTCATAGATATAATTGTCAGAAACTATTAATTTAGAACTAGTGAGACAATTTCCAATTGAACATGTTCTGGAAACTCTGTCCTGTCTCCCCAGTTGCTTGGGTGGATTTGCTGAACAGGCCAGGAGTAAGGAAAGCTACACAGAACTAAACGCCACCACAAGTGAACACTGGAGGGCACCAGAGTACCTGATACCTTATTTTGCCTTTCCTTTTTTAGTGAGGAATTTATAATTGGCCAACTTGGTGCAAAACAGAAACTGAGTTACAAAACAGAATACATTTATTCAAAAATGGAATCCATTTATTCATTTTTTTTTAACCTGGCTTGATGACAGGATTGCTGAATAACATCTCTGTTCATTTGGTTTTGCTAAAAATAAATTTCAATTTCGTGACGCTATTTTATGCTATTCTAGCTCATCAGAAGTCTCAGCAGAGAACAACTCTTTCCTGGGAGGGTGACACTACTTCTAGCACTTACCTGAGAGGTGGCACATTTTCTCAAGATGTCTTTAGTTGCCCCAGGAGGTGGTGTGATCTTATTAAACAATCCTGTTCTCAGTCGTGGTGTGGGAACCAACAATGTTTTTTTGCTCTTTTAAAGAAAAGACAATTGATAAATTCCAAAGTTAAATTTATACATAGGACTATCTTGTATATGTTTTTAGCATATCAGGCAGGAAGGCAAGTTACCATTGTCAGCATTTTTTGGTGTGCGCCAAGGAAATCACTTGTTTGCAAAACCAATTAAATAATGGGTAGTGATCAATCTTAACTTGGAGTCACTAGTCTGCACCACTTTACCATGAACAAGCAGGATGTTTACTAAACTTGTTAATTCTACTTTCGGTGCCATTCAAAGTTGTTACAGGTAAAAACTGACAATGCAAATCCAAAGTAAGATCTGTTCTCACAAAAATTCTAACCATACTTTCATTTGCCCCCTGTGTTCTCATCACCAAGAACTATAAGTTACGATAATGTTTTACCTTGAAACCAAATTATGTTGCTCCACTAAACATTTATATCTAGTTTGCTATTCAATAAATCACAATCTAAGAGATCAGTAATCATTATAACTAATATTTTATGTTGACATGTATCAGTAGTCTTTTTCTACTACTTAGTTCTCAAATGTCTATTGCAAGTCCTTGAACAGGGGTTCTCCAAGTGGGCGCCCTGGGCACACAGCTCAGCAGCTCTGGGTACCTGTTCAGAGCCAATCAGACTTGGGGGGTGGGGGTGGAGGCTGGAGCATCGATGTGGCTTTTAACAAGCCTTCAGGTAATTCTGATGCACACGAAAGTTTGGAAACTACTGGCTAGGACATCTCTGTAGAATATGCAAGGCTAGGCTATAAGGCAATCATAAAATTCCTAAAACCTTTCATGTAAACAACAGTTTATTTTGGTTCAAAAGCAGGAGGTGACATCCCAAGACCAATGAAAGACCCATAAAATCACAGTTTGGCCTTCTTACATAGAAGTTTCTCAACCACGAAGGAGAGTATTTCAACACAAGTAGTTGTAATTACCACGTGCTATTTTTCTATGGGTGATAAAGATGTTTGGGTTCCGTCCTCTCTAATGTCCAGGTTCTGTGTACTACATACTATTTGGATTGCCCATCCCCTATCTCAGTGGATCTCAGCCCTATCTGCACATGAGCATCACCTGGAGAGCTCTGAGTGTTACCAAGGTCTAGACCTCACTCATGAACCTGGTATGGCCAACAGTCTTCAGAGCTCCCCAGGTGACGCCAACATGTGGCCAGGGTGGCAGATGCTGCCCAAGCCAGTGGTTCTCAAACCCGCCTGCTGGGAAGCACCATCAGGGCATGGATAAGAACAGCATCCCAGTGCCACTCCAGAGACTGGTTCCCAGGCCTGGGGCTGTCCTGGGAAGCTGTGCAAGCACCCAGTTACTGTACGATCTGACATAGGCCACTGTGTCTCCAGGTGTGGCCTGTGACTGGGCACATCACTATTAACTGCCTGCACACAGGTGGGGCTGAGGAACCTGGATTTTTATCTGCTTCCCAGGTGATTCTCAAGCCCACTAAAGTTTCCAAAAACCACTGAGGAGTCTTTAAGCACCAGAGTGCAGAGACCACATGTGTGTCGGTATCGTTTTCAGCACTACACCCCCATGCCCAGCACAGAGCCCGGCATACAGCACATTCTCAATAGCTCACTGTTTATTTAACCTGAAGAAATGAAGGAATGTAGGGACAGCACGAAGCTCAGATGCCCCATCATGCCCTGCTTTGGAGGGAGTCAAAGGCACCATCTTTCTAAATAAAGGACTGCACATATCTACCTGGAGAATGCGTCCCCCCAGGTGGCCAGGTCTCAGCTCAGGGAAGTGGGATTACCTGCAGTGCCAGCAGCCGCACACCTTCCAGCGGTTTATCAGGATCCACTTTAACTTCCTGCATTCGGGCAAAAACGTCTAGATCTTTGATGTTTTGGCAAGCCAGATAAGACCCCTAGTTAGGCAAACAAACAGAACTGCACTTACGTTGAGGACGAAGAAGCGAGCACTTTTCTGGGGAGCGTCAGGATTTACTTTAATGGTTCTGGCCATTTTGAATGCCTGCAAACGTGGGAAGTGCTCAGCAGCATGAGAAGCACCCTGTTTCAAATGCAATTGCACGTTACTGAGAGGACAATACGACCTCCAGCCAACGGCAGCCCAAGCAGCCGGCCCAGCATCTCACCTAGACAGATGGGCGTGCTAATTCTAAGATAGTAACTAAGAGTCACCTGAGGAAACATCTAAGAAAGGAGTCAGGGTAGAAAGGGATTTGAGAAAGCTAGTCTAGCCTCAATGTAGTTTTTACTAAAATAAAACATGCATTCTAAAAATGAGTGCAGAGTTTGATGAATTTTCACAAAATAAGCACACTGTGTAACCACCGCCTAAATCATGAAATAGCATAACCCAGAAGCCACCCCCCCACCCCAGTTCATTCATTTTGAATGGTCTTTAAATGATTCTGTGAACCCATCTTTTCCCCTGCACTTCACGTACATTTCTCTCCCTGGGGAAAAAGCACTGAAACAAAACACAAAAACTAAAAAGCAACAAAATCATACAGAAGAGGTTTTTCAAAGGGACAGGACGATCTCGGAAACAGCAAGAAGGGTCAGAGCCTGCTCTGGAGAAGCCAGGCCTAGGGCGACATAATCCAGCCCAAACGGGTGAAGCAAGCAAGCGGGCAGTGCGTGGGCTGCGCAGGGCAGCACGTGTATTTTCTGAAGTGCTTTTCTTTTCTGCAGGAAAATATGCATGTGAAAATTGTGAACTGTGTTACACTGTGTATTGCTACAGCAATAGCTATGCTAATTGTATGGCTAGGCATTTCATAACTAAAGCCAAAAGTTTTCATTATTTTAGTTATACTAAGTTTCCATTTGTATTTTCAGGGCTAGGACTCAGACTCTTCAAACCCATTGTAGACTGGGTCACAGACCCCTCACATGCAGGTCCATGCTAGGTAATTGGGAAAGATCCTGGGAGCCATTGGCAGATGACACAAGCTCAGTCCTCAGCTTCCTCTGCAGAGGCTGTGGCTTACAGCAGATCCAGCGTGGTGGTAGCAGCCCGCCCCCCGCCCCAGGGGCATCCTGGGGGGGTGGGAGGCACAGTGAATCAAAGCCACTTGTCCTTTATACTTAAGTCCATAACCCAGGACACCTGGGTGCACATGTGCAATTACATTAGACCATAACCAAGGAACACCTGAGCACAGGTGCATATTTACATCAAATGCTCTGCAAGATTCTGAACAGCTGAGGGGCCCTGACCATTTTCCTTCATTTTCCCTACACACTACCTCTTTCAAGCAAACTTTTTTCTATTAATACTGTCATAAACAGACATCTTTGATTGTTATCTTTTCAGCAGCTGGGAAACTGAGGCCCAGTGCTGTTAGAGACCGGCAAGTCATTCATCTGTTCCCAAGGTGCCAGCGTTTGGGTTTCACTCTCAAGCGCACTTGCTCATAACGTTCTTAGGGAGGACAGTTTTGTGAAAAGGCATCACAACAATAACACCCTTCCAGCTGGCATAAATACTTTACTTTGTATGAAACAGAAAACAGTAGCCTTTGCACCACCTCACCTGGAAGACACAGCAACCCACCCTGCACGGAACGGCAAGGGCCCTGAGCAAGGAAGGGTAGGTAATGTGACGCGGCCTGTCTCTAAAGGCAAGGAGCGCCTGGCCAGATGGTTCTGATTGCCACCATGCTCACTGCTCCCCGTCTACTCCACCACGAAGCACAGTGCGGGAACTGCCTTACTCACGTTATTCATTCAGGAATACCTCATTTTCCTTTTAAACACTCCAGGAATGCTTCAGTACCTTAAAGTTGGGAATCCTGTGATGAACAGGTCGGGGAAAGTCAGCTACATTTTGTGATTCCATGTAGTCCCAAATTTGCTCACGAATGTCCTGTTTGGAGACACCTATCGCAACAAAGTTTGTCACTAATGAAGTAAAAAGGAATCCCACGTGCTTGCAGGCACAGATTGTGTCATATGTCTGCTCCAGTTACACCCTCAGGTCAAGACCAGATCTGATCTCTACATTGAAAAACCAGGGTTAATAAGAAGTTTTATACTCACCACAAATTATTAAAGACCAAAAATAGAGTAAATTAAATAAAACCCAAGTATTTAACCCAGTTCTTCTAACCCTGTAGCAGTAGGAGAACAAAATACAACCCAAACCCTGTAACCAAGCGTCCTAGAGTCCTCAGTTGGACACACGAGCTCTGTTAAGATGTACAGGGAACTGTAATTGAATACTCAGTCCATTCAGTCTTAATAAGACTGATTAGTTTATTCCTGCTGTGAATCAAGGAAGCCTTCCTTAAACCTAAGTGATGGGTAAGCCAGCTACTATTTTGGTTTACTAACTACCATTCTTTATCAGTGAGACAATCTTTTATTCTATCTCCAACTTTGGAAATGCATTTTTAGGCAACAAATAAACTTTATTTGATTGCAACAGTACTAATAAAACTTGCATTAACTATGTGCTACTCTTGGAGTAGAGAAACATAAAAATCAGTTTCCAGTTACATAGAAAAAAAACCATAAAATCAGCATATTTATATGAACACATTTAGAAATATTTACTGAATTTTTGTTTTTTGTTGGTCCAGGGATATTCTCGTCCTTGTACAGAAGTTTGTTTTGAGTCACTGTGATATCTACCACCTGACTTATCTGCCTAAAAACTTATTACATGGCCCGCAATTTGAATTGTTAAGCAAGGAATTTTGTATATGGTAATATTATTCAATAGTATACTCTCACTATGAACCTCAAAGTAGATTTAGTGCCCAAATCTAACTCCCCAGGAACAGTGCTATTTAATGTAGGCCATCCAAAGGTCTCCACATACATTGTGCATAAGGGATGTGCATTCCTGGAGTTGGAAGGGAGAAGTCAACCTCTTCTCATCAGAGATCTTACACATGTTCATGAAAACTAAACACACCCAGATTAGGAACGTGAGATTCTGCACACACTGATGGGCAATTAGCTGGTTTCCAATCTTCTGCTACTGAGGTATGCTCCCCCTCCCCATTTTACATCGAAGTTTTAAAGGTCTATGTGTAGTTCTAAGGCGTGAGAGCTGGCCCTAAATCTTCTGGCAAAGTGTGCACACGAGCCCCTTCAAGACCAGGCCCTAGAGCCCGCCGGAGCCCACTCCAAATGCTACTGGTGTGTCTCGAACCACTTGAGAAATTGAAAATGCAGACTCGAGTGTGCTTAGGGATCATGTGTCTCCAGAGATGAAGGCTGAGACGACACTGCTGCTGGCCTGGGGAGGCCACACTGGCAGTTTCTGGCTCTGAGACTATTCTTCCCAGCTTCAGTCACTGCCAGAAAGTCTGCATTCAGGATGAGTAAGGTGCTGCCCTAGTGCTGCAGATCCCTCGGTCAAGGGCGTTGAGTGAGCTCACGTATGCAAAGCCCCTGCTGGGCATTCCCACCTCGTCTGCCTGTCTGCCTTGTCTCCCGTCATTCGTCACTTCCAAAAACTGGTTCAACCACTGCTGTTTCCTGCCCCCAACACATCTGTCCACCTCCCTCTCCCTTTCAGGCCTTTGTATCTCCTCTCCTCTCTCTCCCTTCAGGTCTAGCTTAGACACCACCACCACCCCCACCCTCACCCCCAGTAAGCACACCAAGTACTCAATCTCAGACAGATGCCCTTCCTTTAAAGGCCCAGAGTCCCTCACTGTTTGGGTGTTTTTCCAAATAGAAACAACGACACTGGCACAGTTATTATAAAGTTATTACATATGCCACCTCTACTAACAACTCAGAAGACCTAGGATACCCCCAACATTGTGAAGGATAATGCGTGGGACACAAGAAATGTAGAAATTGTGGTCCCTGCTCCAGAGTCACTTAATCACAAACATGTAAGTGACTCCCATTTATGAAGCAATGGGCTAATTGGCAGGGAGAGAGAGAATGTGGGAAATGAAAGGGCAGCTCCTTGCCCCTGGAAAGCTGTGAGAACATGGAAACCATTAAAATAACAATAGGTGACCCATATTAATGTGTGAAATGACTGAACCCTCTACTCCTCCCAGTGGGCTGTGGGCTCTGTCAGGTCAGCTGGGGTCTCATTCATCCTATCCCCAGGCACAACTCCGTCCTGCCCGTGGTAGGCCTCCCCACAGGTCTCTATTATCATCCTACTGTTCATCATTACCTGTTTACTGTGCTGTTTAGGCGCTGCACATGCAATAGAGGGAGTGGGTCTGTTCACGTCTGTGGTACCTGGACTTAACAGCGCCTCACACACCTTGAGCGTCAGTAGCACTGGGGACTATCTCTGCCTGACAACCCTGCAGTCAATCATCGAGGCTCCCCCACTAGAGGGTGACATCCCAGGGGCCAAGGATCTGGAGGAAGCCTCCTCAGTGCCTGGAGCAGGGCCTGGAGCGGCCAGGTCCTCGAAAAGCATTTGTCAGAGGCGACACTGATTAACGCCCCAACTGAGGTTAAACTGGTTTCTATCCTGTCCCCGCCACCAGTTGTGAGCCTCAGTTTCCCCCGATCTCACGGGGTGGCTGTGATGATTGGCACATGGGCCCCACTACTTGCACGGCAGGTGGCACTCCCGCCTCTTCCTCCTGATATCTCCGCCGGGATTCCGGGTCCGAACCGGCCGCGGGTTCAACCCCGAGCCCCACACAGGCCGCCCCGAGCCCCCCGGTGGTCCAGCCCGCCCCCCGGCGCCTCTCACCCGCCCTCGGCTCCATGGCGACGCCGTCACCGCGCG